AAGAGACTTGAGAATTCTATCTCTCTCTCTCACACATACACAGTCTCCTAACGAACGGGCATCTTTGGGTAGGTCCTAAGCCGAGATTTTGAAGTCGCTTCCTAGATTCGACAAGCTGTAGATAATGTCAGTCACGTTACACTTTGAATTAACTATAAGAAAAGACATCTCCCCTTACGAAAACGACATCTATAGAATCAGCAGAAGACTTCATCCAAAACCAACAAAAAATGTATGTGAGCCCAAAAAAACTGAGATATTTCCTGATAATATAAATTTACTAAAAGCAAACTAATATGGTTTTTCACACGCTTTATATTAGCTTCACCTGTATATATGTTTGTTTTTTTGTAACTTTCAAGCTCGGGATCTGTATTGACAGAATAATCGGCATTATTGCTTGATCTATTCGCGGACAGATGGCACCGTACGTAATTCCTTGACATTTCTTGATCTATTCGCGGGCAGATGGCGCTGTACGTAACTATAAATTATTGCCTAATCTTTTCGCAGGCAGATGTCGATGTGCGTAACCTCCTTGATATTTCTTGATCTTTTCGCGGGTAGATGGCGCTGTACGTAACCTCCTTGATATTTCTTGATCTATTCGTAGGCGGATGGCGCTGTTCAAATCGTGGGACTCCAACTTTTCGAGCTTTTTGACCTTTCCAATACGTTTTAAACCATCAAAAACCGCATGGGAGCTAACTTCCAGTTCTTTGGCAATCACATGCACCGTTTTTGTGGGTCAGTTTCCACCAGGGTCCTCAAATTCTCATCCTGGATTACTGTGAGGCGACCAATTTGGGGATCATCTTCGAGGCAAAAAGCTTCGGAACGAAATTTCGCAAACCAACATCGAACAGTGCGTTCATCAACACTGTCATTGCCAAATGCCTGGTTAATTATTCGGCTGTTTTGACAGCGCTTTGGTTCAATTTGATTTCGTAAAGAAAAATTAGCCGAAAATCGCTCAACTACATCATATAGTACTAATAAGCTGAATAGGGGAAAAATAAACAGCATCAATGTATAGAGTACAAAAACTTGAAAACTATAATTCAACTACGTCAGTATCATATACATCAAAGATTTTTCAGTTAGTAGGCCGAATAATCGCTGAACTTTGTGTATTTCCAGTTATTGGAGCGGCAAGGGGTTTCCTTGAGGTGTATGATATTTCTCCGGAACTTCTTATTCCAGTTGATTTCAATTTGAAGACATCTGATTTCTTCAAGAGAATTGCCGTAGCTACTGAAATTAGATTACACTATTTTGGAATAGTTCCATTGACCTTAGATATTAATCATTTACTACAGGTAATAAAATAGACCACTAATATTGATGGGTTGTGGACAATTTTGAGAATTTTTCAAATTTATTTCAGTTTATCACCGATGACCAATTCGTTAGAGGGATAACAGAAACGGTACGACTCGCATCAAATTTTACAACCGTTTATTTCTACAGATTTTCTTATGTGGGAGACTTAGGCCTGTATCCATCCCAGAAAAGAGTGCATGAAGGTGACTTATTTCTATTGATTATCAATATTGCAAATTCAGCATTCAAATTTATAGGTGTAGGACATACGGAAGAACTNGGCTTGATAAGCATACGGGTGGTTATTCAGGGGGGATGCAATTAATGCCACCCTCCTGATGTGTCCGTCCAGTATCCTCTCGAATCCTTTCAGCCTGAGTGGTTCATTGGTATCCAACCATTGTCCTGAACGTATTCTGTTGTCGTAGTGTATCTACTTTTGATCACACGTGAAGATCCGATCAAAAAAAGAATCGTTTTGGTTGCGCAAGAGCAAATAGGAAGAGACCTCGACACGTGACAGTTTTTGTTGATCGTTCAAATCGTGGGGCACTCATTTTTCGAGCTTTTTGATCTTTTCATTACGTTTTAACCATAAAAAACCGCATAGAAGCTAATGCCCAGTTCTTCCGCCATCCCATGCATCGTTTGTGATGGGTAGGTCGACCACTTTGGGGCTCATCTTCGAGGCTAAAATATTCGTTATACAGTGCGATCATCAACACTTAATATTGCCAAATGCCAGATTTAGCAGCTGTTTTGACAACGCATTGGTTAAGTTTGATTACGTATAAAAATTGGCCAAAAATCACATGTTAATAAGCTAAAAAGAGACAAAAAATTAAAATTTTGAAAAAATAAACAGCATCAATGTATAGAGTACAAAATTCTCTATCGCTCACAATACAGTAGATAATATATTTATTGAGATGTGGAGCTACAAAAACACTTGATTTCAAAACTGACAAAACTTTCGAAAAAACCTAACAGCATTGATCAATATTAACACAAACGTAGTTTGTTACATTATAAGTTTTCCATTCTTTTTTTTTTTTAATTCCTTCTGATCTGTTAATATTTGGGCAATTTTTTTGATTTTTCATAGTATTTCCAATGATGATAATTTTTCTCCTTTTTTTAAATTTTTTTTCTGATGTTTCATAAATCCAAGAACACTGCGTAACAAAAATATTATTTTTCAGGGATCCTACTCCAGAAAGTGATGAACTTTTGCAGGATGTTCAATGGATTCCATCATCACCACAAAATAGTACCTACCTTGATATAGGAAAAAAATTAATCATCGGAAACGATTTAGAAAAATACAGTATTTCTTGGTGGAAAAAGCTGTACAAGAAATATGCAATACCCCCCCTCGACACCTATTAGTCAAAAACAAAAGATGTAAGAGAAATAAAAAATACAATATGATCATTCTCGGAGATATCAGACTTTATAAATATTACCTGGTGATATTTGCTCCGAGGTGCAACTCGGCACTGCCATTTTCTCAATAAAGTGTAACCATTTTACATTTTACTATGTTTTATATTCATTCCAATTCAATATTTAGGTATACATTTTATGATACTCTTAACTATAATTAGTTTCGAAGTGAGTGGGTCTATTCGACCTTCCACTGTTCCCTCAAAGGTTTATTCTGGCCCCAATGAATCCAGCTTCTTGGTTGTGGTTTTATCAGATGAGATGAGTGAAACTCTACCATACTCGAAAACATGATTCGGTTTAACTCAGCAAATCAATATTTTTAACACATATTGTGTCGTTAGTTTCGAGGGCGCGCGGGTTACAGGGAAAGAGAAAACCTGCGATAGACTGTGACTTCCCCTCCACCGACAGTGGCGCACACAATTAAATTGATTAGGTGATGATAAAAACAAATTTATGTGAAATTTTATGTATTAATGGTATAATATCAACCCTTGTTCACCCCCAATATAAAGATCTTTATACTATGGTTATTCATATGAAATTGTAGAGATCTGCAATTAAAACAAATGAGTCCGTTGGAATTTCGAAAAATATAATTGTCTTTAACGTCTTTACAATTTGAATGTCAGCAAACTTTTACAAAGTTGATCGTCCAGTGAATAGTATCACACCATCGAGTTGAATGACATATTGGAATGGACGGTTGGCATGAAAGTTTACTTCTGGAGGCAAGGGGACTGATGGAGCGACCACAAAAACTGAAAAAAAAACATGGCAATAAGGCATGTGTTATATTCCGAAACATTGGATGTCCACCAGTGAGGATGAGAGTGTTCTACCCCTTTCATATACTATATTGCGTAGCAATCCTGTGAATTGTATCTGATATATTTCCACTATGAATGTTCGGAGTACAAACTGAATTGGAAAGAGTGTTTTGTATAGTTTATTGTTCATATAAAAGTAATTGTTTCAAAAGTATTTTTCTTTCTTGTTTTTATGAAAGTAGTTGTTTGGAGAGGGCTTTTTTTCAGTTTGTGTTTGGAAGTTACTTCTTTGCAGGATCTACACAATTGCTTTCTTCCTTTCTTAAGAAGGTTCCCACATTTTTTGTATAAAGATGGAGAAGTAGAAAGCCAAAACCTTTCTTTCCCAGAATTAATCTCTCCTAACAATAATACCCCTTTCAATAATTAGTCGATTTCGCAAACATCATACTCAAAATGTTTTCATATTTCTTAAAAAGTATGCTCAATGGGAAACAAGTAAGTATACAAAATTCAAGTTCTTTATTCAATCGAAATGCGATTTGGTTATATTTCATAAATTGATATCGCCCCCAAAATATCAACCAAAAAATCTTCCGCCAAATAAAACAGCTTCGTCCTTCATTATGAAGTAGACAAAGGGGTGATGAGCATGGAAGAATCCAGAAGGTGGCGGCGGCAATGATTCTGCGAAGATGCGAACTGAAACAATAATCAAGTGTTTTTCCAAACCTACAAAAAATGTCATTCTGTGATGAGTATTTGTTTATTAACTGAAAATTAAGCTGTTAGTAGCGATCCCTACGTAATTACATGCAATTGTAACTCCTGAGAGACATGCGTGAAGAAATTGAGGATCCCTCTCATGCTAAGAAACAGACACCAAAGTTTCAGAATGCATTCTGAACATTTCGAATCAGATAGTCTGAGGAAGTGGGAAATCAATGATTGCTGTACTGACAAAATGGAACTCAAATGTACTTGTGTAGCTCAAGTATATTTTTATCTACTTTAATGTCATTCTCTCACCATCGAAATGAAGACCATCCATTCCGTTTCAGGTGAATAATCTTCTAGCTCTGAGAATTCTTACGGAATCGATATACTGGATAGAGCATTTTCACAATCTGGACTCGAAATTATTCAACGTGAAGTATTCGGTACATTTTTTCTTTTTTTGCATCTTTTGTTGTGGAATTGGCCGCGGTGGTAGTGTTAGGAATCACACGTTAAAAGGTAAGACCTCGTTAGTCCTTAGCTCGCACAAGTTTCTCAACTTCTGTCTGAGTTGTCGTTCGTATGGGGGCGGCAGCTGATTAACGGCAAAACGGATTTTAAACAGATTTTTTAAACATGACTTATTGTCAACCATATTTGCTGGTTCCACTCCCAAAATAAATGAGTGGGAGAGACTGTTAGACGCTGTCTGTTCAAAAAATAAGGTGAATTTTAATTTTTCTCAAAAAATATTTATTTATTCATCAATTTTCATATTGCCCCTTTCAAAATAGTCTCCCTTAGATATAATACACCTGTGTCAGCATTTTTCCAATCCTCGAAGAAGTTCAGCAACTCCTCTTTAGTGATTCGACGATTCTCCATAACAATTTTCTTTCCTTTCTCAACATTTTTATTGGCTGTTGTTGTGCTGGGGAATCCAGAGCGAGCGTCGTCTTTCACATCTTCTCGACCTTCTGTGAAGAGCTTGTGCCACTTGTAAACATTTTTCTGACTCAGAGTACAATCACCGTATGCCACTGTCAACGTTTCAACTATTTTGAGCACTTGATTCTATTTTTTACACAAAATTTGATGCAAATTCTTCGATCCATTTTTTTTTTTTGAATCATCTTTCAAAATCTACATTTTTATTTTTTGAGTTATTTCATCAACATTTAGTATTGAATTAAGGTACGTTTGAAAATAAAAAAACTTTTTTTTTTTTCTACAACTTCTTCATCAATACCTATATAAAAACAGTAACTTCCGAAAATGGAAGTGAGCTCAATGATCTGAAGTCTAAATTGTTTTCAGTGCATTACTAAACAAAATAATAAATGAATTTTTTCAAATTTTTTTTAAAGAATGGTAATTGAGATTTTGAAACTATGTTCAGCATTGAACTTTCAATAGAAGTATAATCTCTAAAAATGAAGCATTTGACATCCTTCGTTATTTCTACTCTTTCCGACACAAAAACATCTACTCGAAAAACATGTTACACCAACAGAATTGGTGTTATTCTAGGATGAAACTGGAGGAAATAGGTATTTTTCTTCTGCTGCTTTCCAGTTCGTTCATCTTCACTCTTATCAACCCATTGCACTCTCAACTAATCAAAAATTTCAGGTTCTCGAAGTAAGTAGATAAATGTTTCTTTCAGTTCATAAATCATTGTTTGTATAAATACAAACTTTATTCATACACCATTCAGGAAATCTGCTCTACAATCAGTATAAAAAATGAATCAAAATCGTGGTAATCGCAAATATTGAATATGTATCGTTAACATCTCAGGAAGTAGTTGAAATCAGAGCTTGAAAATGAAGCAGTTGTTCTTACACGAGACGCCTGGGCAGAAAAAGGCGATAATATCTCCCCTTACGAAGCTCTACTTACGAATGTCAATGATAAATGAAACTCCCGTAGATGAGTCGTTGCAAGACAAGGCAACTAGGTGAAACAAAAGCCCAAAAATAAACAATTTCACAGGGCTGTTTCTACCCATCAGAGGTGCCATCATCGATAGTGCTAGGATGAACTATAAATATATCATTGGACATAATTGTCATTTGAGGACAGGCCTCAACAGAAGACGTTTCCGTTTACGAAACTCGATATGTGATCGTCAGAAGACTTGATCCAGGAATACCGGCATCTTTGCATGACACTAGGTTTTTAGATGCTTTCGAGAGTTTAAGAATAGGAAAGTGTGGAATGAGAACTATGAACGGTGACACTCTGTTGAAATTTGCGAGAATTTCGAAAAGTATATTCTCCGCAAATTTCTACCCGGAATCATTTGTCTCCTTAACTTGGTGAAACGCGCGTCGAGAAGAGTATCGCATTTCTGGTGATTGGGAAAAGTATTTGTTTTCTGATGTAAACGGTCAATTCAACTGTAATATTCGTGGATTCGGTTTTCTGAACCCACAGATGGTGCCATATCTCAGGAAAAGATTTGAAATTCTCGTTTAGTTTCATGAATATTCCATATAATTTCAAGTGTTCATTCACATTTTATCATGTTTGAATTATAAAGTATTTTTCAAAACCGTTACTAGTATTTTGCACAGTTCATCCGAAGAATCTTCCGCCGAATAAAACAACTTTATCTTTCACGATAAAGTAGACAAAGGGATGATTAGCATAGAAGTATCCAGAAGGAGGCGGCGGCAGTGATATTGCAATGATTCCAACTGAAAAAAAAATACAAATGAGTGTTTTTAATACAACGAAAATATATAAATATTATTTGATCAGTAGATGAAGAGTAAAATTAGCGTATTAGTATAATCAACCATTTTTCCAAACTTGATGATTTTTACTGGAACCTCTGGCGTAAAATGAATCTATGGAAAACACTTTCCCAACACCAGAACAAAATTGCGGTTTCTCGACGCGCGTTTCGCTTACCAAGTTAGTGTCCTCGGGAAATCATTACGACTAAATTTTATTAACATGTTTTTATATGCTAGTGGCCTAACTACTATCTGTTAGTAGTACCTAACTACTATAATAACAGGTAGTAGTTAGGCGATACTAACCGCTAGTAGTTCGGTCCTACTAACAGGATAGTTCGTAAAATGAATCTATTGAAAACACTTTCCCAATAGCAGAATAGGAGATCATTATGATCTTCTGTTCTGGTATTGGGAAAGTGTTTTCAATAGATATTTTTCTCTAAACCGTATTTAGAAAAAAGTAATGACGTATTTCAATAAACTTTGAACAACAGGTGAAGAAATGAGTCGGTTATTTGCATACTCTACATCATCGTAGAG